TCATTATGAGATTAACGGTTTATAAATGGTATAAAAACAACTTGTAATGGAAAATGATTGACTTGGGGAATTGTGTCGGCTGACCTTGTCTTCACGAGAGGCGCCATCACGACCGGGTCCGGTTTGGGATCGTGACAACTGACTTCGTCTTCTTCCTTGCGTCTTTTCTGAAATTTAACTCAAATCTACTCCAAATCACTTCAAATTTAAATTTTGAACTCCTTTTGATATTTTCAATCAATTGGAACAACACACAATCCAAACAACCAACAAACTCAAAAAATCATATTTTCGAAAGTAAAGCTTTGAATGGCCTTCAATGGTGGACTTCTACTTTTTAATTTTTCTTACATTGCAATCAGTTGACACAGGGAGAGAAACAGCAATGGCGGACGACCCCTTGAAGCATATGCAGAAGATGTGAGAAGAAGAGAGAGTGAAAGCAATGGTTGTGAGAATACAGATTTAACTCCATAGCTGTTAGAAGCAATGGTTGTAAGAACACAGATTTTGAATTTGCTAGTGCTTTCAAAATATGTACAATATGGGCTAGGTCAGGTAAAACTTAAAACATGGGCCATTTTTTGTTATGGTGTGAAGTCATGTGTATTTTCTTGTAATTCTTTCAGAAAAATATCCTTTTTAAAGGCTAAGAAGTTATATGATTTATAATCATCATCAAATTTTGAAGGATCAAGATTAAATTTTGTTTTGAAACCTATGATTTATGAAATTTTATAATGGAAAAAAGATCCTTACAACCATTCCCTACAAATCCCATCATTACCCAAACTAAAACTCATTTTGAAGAACCTTAAGAAAAGACAAAGTTGGTGATATTGCTTTTATGCTCTGATATCACTATTGAATTTTTCATTATTAGGATGGACCAACATTGCCTAATAGGAGATATAGTTTAGTTAATTGGTAATATTTTCACTTTCATAGTAGGGTATTTCAAATAATTTAGCATTATCAGACCTCAAACAGAATGATATTCAGAATCAGAGACAGATATTTTGATAGAGAAATTTACTGCTTTAATAGCTTTACAATCAATAATATTTTTTGTATTTATAATGATCTCCCTCTATGTGATTATTCAATGTTAGCATAGTACTGGTAAAAGACAAATAAATGTACACGTCCAAATAAGAATTCATAAACTTACTCATCGCTCTGCTCCTTCATAATACACAAATTAGATATAATAATAGCATGCTGTGCTTAAGTGCTACTACATGACCACGTTAAGAAGCTAGATCCACCACCTACACCACCTACACCTTGAACTTTAGAGTACACAAAGCCCTTTAACAAAAGAGTCTTTATCCCCTTCTTTTACTCGAGATTTAATCATTTTACTAAGTGTTGACCATGTTATCTTTCCACTGAACATTTTCATTGTCTATCAAATAAAAAAACAGTGAAACATTCAAGAGCGGCCCAAACCAAATTTAATAAGAGGCCTTAAATTTTTTAATTGAATACGAATATACAAAAATTTAATATTATTTTATTTTTCGTTATAGGATAGTAGTCTCTCTTTAAAGATATTAAGCCTATAACTTCACTTATTATTATTATTATTATTATTATTATTATTATTATTATTATTATTATTATTATTATTATTATTATTATTATTATTATTATAGTAAAGGTAAATTCATGTTAATAAGATATTAGCCATATATTTGTAATATATATAACGTTGGATATTGTTGCAAAAAATCTTATTTACTAATATGAAACTAGAGTAATTTAATTTAAAATTCTAAAATATTTGCACTGTGATAAAGAAGACAATCTTTCCTTTTTAATAAAGATTCCATATTTATTTGGTAAGTGAAGATTAAATCTTGTTTTCAAACCTATGGTTTATGGAATTTTGTAATGGAAGAAAGATCGTTACAACCATGCCTCTCAAATCTTATCATTACCAAAATTAAAACTCATTTGGAAGAACCTTAAGAAAAGATAAAGATGATGATATTTCTTTTTATGCTCTGATACAACTATTGAATTTTTTGAAAAAAATAGCAGCAAAAAAATGATTGAAATTATCTCTCATAATTTTATTAAGCATAGAAGACTTTAAAATAGCTAGAGGATACCGAAAAAAGTACCGGCATAACCGGTCAAGTTGGTACCCTTTAGATACCGAACTGGTACCCTTAAGATTTTTATTTTTATTCTAGTGTAGTCATATTTTGAGTGTTAGTCAACCGTTGGCAACAACCAAAAACGATTATTTTTGTCTCCTTATCCCTCTAGCACCATCCTGTCCCTTAATTTATTTTATAACCTCTAAGTTTGTTAAAATACACTTTGGCCCTTTTTTAAATCTATAAATACCTCATTTTATTCTTTTAATTTTCATACAAAACTTTCATATCTCTCAAATTCCGTATCTCTTTCTATCTCTAATTAGAATTGAAAATTATTCTATTGAATGTACTCACATATCCCATAAGACCCATTAGGCTCTGATACCACTGTTGGATTTTTTTAAAGGGGTAGAGCAACAAGAAAAGAAGACTTCTCCAACTGCTCTTATGTAAAATATGTTCTCTTGGCATGATATCATCCTTGACATGTATTGGTCAAGTGAAATCAACTTACCATATGATTTTGTACTGCAAATATATACATTTAAGTAAGAAAACCAGTTATTATATTTCTATTTTAATCGATTTAATCAAGTATAATAATACCTCTCAAATCGAAGAAGTTCGGCAACTTGGTTCTTATTAGGCTCAGACTTTATTATTGCATGCTTTATGAATTCGCCTCCTTCATTCCGTAGTTTAGCATATTCACCTTTCTTGTTAGCATAATCCTTTATCGTCCAAAGCTTTATCACCTTGCTGAATTCATTCCACAATTCACTTGTAATACCATAATCCAAGAATGGGTAGATAATTACTTCAACTAATTACCTAATTTCTGATTTAGGTATGTCGAGTAGACCTTTTTTCTCATCCGAATCCCCTTCAACCAGTTTTTGCATAATATCGAGAGACTTATAAATAATCTCATCATCATCTTTACTTGCCCACAAGGAGAGAGGAATCTTGATGAATTTTTCAAAGTAGAGATGTCAATTGAAAGGAAGTAGAGTTATACAGTATTTTTCAACATAAATAAGGTAAGACTTGTTAGTAATCTGTATTCAAAAATATATTCAAAAATAAAAAATGCTATAAAACCAGAAATGCGAAAGAACTGAATTATTCCGAGCCCACTGAATTCACAGTATTTTCTTAAGCAAAAATCTGAGGGTGAGTTCATGTATTTATAGCCAAAAAAAAATCTTGGGTTATACTGAAGAGTTACAACTCTTCATGTAAGGTTGCAACTCAAAATGGTTGTTTTATAAAACGACCATTTATGCAAACCGCCAAATTCAAATTATAATGGGAAAATTTAAACAGAGGAAAATTGAATTACCGTTATAGAAACGATCTAATTTGGATGAATTAATATCGCGTTAATATTAACAAATAAATTTGGTCCAAAAAACTAATCAATCAATCACATCATTTGACCAAATCTGAATCAGAATAAGCCGAAGCAGAAGCCGAGCCGAGCGAGCGACGATGACGGCGAAAGGCTTGCCTTCTTCTCAACTCTTTAAGAGCTAGAAGAAGTGCAATTGTATATATATACCCATCAAAACTCTTTTTTTTCATCCAATATGGGACAATGTCCCTTTATCAAAGAGGGAAATTCAAAAAAAAATTATTTTTCCTCTATTTCTCATTCACTCTATTTTAAGTTCTAAGAAGCTTAAACCTAACAAGACATAGTTATAAAAGATCTATAATTATTTTGAGATTACATCAAACAACAAACAAAGAGGTACATCTGGACAACAACTTAAGTAGAAGTTAAGAAAGAACTCCAGGGTACAAATCTAATAATGAAATAAAAGGAAATAGGAACTTTGATCGCCGAGTCTTTCGGGATTTTGATTGTTCTCTAGGTGTTAGAAGTTTAGTACAACTTATTTATTTCAAAAAACAACAAGTGGCTTTTATCTTTTCTCTTTCTACATTACCAAATGAAATATTGACATATTAGTATAAAACAAAAATAAACAATAAGAAAAAGGGGAACAAAACAAAGAAAAATTTGACAGATCCAACATATGTGTTCCACCGAAAAATATCACACATCCAACTGCACAAGTAGCCAACAACATTGTTTGGTAAAAATTTGAGGAGAAAGGACTTTTTTTCTTCTTTAAATGCATTTTCATTCTTGGTTAATTATATGTATTAAATTTCTAATACAAATTACACGTTTCCTTCATTGTGTAATTCACGTTTATAATCTGTTGCACTCAGGTGTTTACTTGGTCTACTTAATAAACACTTAAAGTATTTAAATGGTAAATGGGTCTATTGAGGTGTTTGTCTGATCGTTGTGAACAATTTAAAGGGCTGGTTTATGTATTTCGCCAATAAAAAATATGACCACACGTAAAATTTTATTTCCAACAAGATGATCAAAATCAAAACTACTCTAATACTCTCCCCACAACAATTTGAAGCAAATAAATATGTTTATGACACTTTAAAAGCTCTTTACCCACAAAATCTCAAGTGAGAAAACTTTAAATTTCTTGAAAATTAGTAGATATTGTTTCCCATACCCACTATTAATTCCTCGCCCTCAGTTATTCTCAAACACTACTACAACACATTAAAAGAAAGTGAGAACTAAATGTTTGAAGAAAAAAAGTAGGCGTAACGGTTTTCTGACCACTTAAACTTGTAGAGCTTTTGAAAGCCGATACACGAACTTTGAATTTTTCCATTTGAACACTCAAGCTTGACAAAATGAGTACTAATAAATACATCTACCAGAGCATGTATATCAATTGCGCTGACATGTACAACACATCATGCTAAGCTATTTATTACTTGCCACGTGTTATTTGTGGGTCCTATTTTTAAATACTAAAAAAGAAAGAAAGAAAACTCCTGAAACATACCCAATATTAATCTGTACGAGCAGCTCCAGACGCTCCTAACATCTCCGGCGAACGGCGACTTAGATATCACCATGGGGAAAGTTCACGGATCACTTGCTCGTGCTGGTAAAGTGAGGGGGCAAACTTCAAAAGTTGCTAAACAGGACAAGAAGAAGAAGCTTCGCGGCCGTGCTCACAAGAGGATGCAATACAACCGCAGATTCGTCACAGCAGTTGTTGATTTCGGGAAGAAGAGGGGCCCGAACTCATCCGAGAAAGTAAATGAAGAAATGACTTTATTTTTAGGTAAAGAAAGTTGCTGAAGTTCAATGAGTTGTATTTGCAATTTGTTGCTTCTGAGAATACTCCAGACAATACAATGTTAACACTATTATACAATTGGTTTCCGTAGTTAATGAAATGGGATAAGCAAGAATTCAATGGCCAACGTGATCTTGACCAAGTTGCTGGAAGAATTGCTGCTGTTCTTTAAGAGATGAATTCAGGCAATTTTATGAATACATGAGTTAGAATGGCCAATGTAGGGCAGAAGTCTTTTTTTCTTTTTTATTTATATTTTATTCTAATTCTAATTTTTTAAGTAAAAACAATACCATTCACGTGCCTTGGCAAGGTGATTTTGCATACAGTTTAGCCATGTCAGCTATAGTGCTTTCACATAGGCATGGTCAACGGTCAAAAATATTTATTAGTACTCATTTTGCTAGTTTGAGTGTTCAAATGGGAAAATTTAAAGTTCGTGTATCGGCTTTCAAAAGCCCTACAAATTTAAGTGGCCAGGAAGCCATTACGCCCGAAAAAGTAAAAGAAGTTATAGCAACAAGGTTAAGCTTGGCTCAAAGAAGGTCTCTCCAATTACAACCAAATGCAACTAGCTCATTATCCCCGATACTAAAATGTTCTTACAAGAGAAGAAAGACTTTTAATTTGTGGGCTTTTCTCTTAAGCTTTGCTCAAAAAAATTCTCTCCAACTACAACCAACTGCAACTAGCTCATCATCTTCGACACTCTGAATGTTCTTACAAGAGAAATGGACTTTTATTGTGGGCTTTACAGTAAGTTTTACAACTTAGTATAAGCCATTATCACATTTCATGTGTGAGCTTTGTAGTAAGTTATTTCATTGCCGCCTCCTTCTCATCATTATCAAATTCAGTTGCCGAAAGTACTTAAAGTAATTGATGATAGTCTGATGATATTGCTTTTCATTCATCCATACAAACCATTGATAGAGAAGAAGAAGCAAGTACTCCGAGACTGATACAAGCAATTTTGTGTCTATGATTGACTAAATTATAGCTTTCAATTTTTGTGCTCCTTGATTTCGATCGATTCTTTTCAAAATCAAATCAGACATTTAATCAGAACGCATAACATAATGATCGATTCAAGTTATTTATTGAGAATTTTCGATGCACCACACAAAGAATACTTAAAAATTATTTCTGGAATATTAATAAATATGACGCGGGGAATTCATCAAAAGAGAGGCTGTAGAAGAGTTTCTTGAGCAGTACAATCCTCAATTAGTAATACTGGAAGAGTGTGAAACATATATTCCAAGGAGAACTAACACTCAATACGACAACATATATTACTGTTAGTAAACTGTATTTGTAAACTAATTCTAAAAAAGATAAAATAACACATAAATAGAAAATATAAACGAAACAAAAGTTAATCCGAGCCCATTGAATTTACAGTGTTCCCTTAAGGAATTTAATCCCCTCCTAGTACCCAAGGTTATGGATCATTTCCTCCCAGGATAGAGCGAATTACACACTGGTGTAGTGGTACTTCAAACCCCCAGTGTTTCAGCGAACACAAAGTTTGGTAGCAAATCACACTTACTGTTGCTTTCTTTGATGCTAAAAGTATGCAGAAGAAAGGAGGAGAACTTAGAAAATCGTATGGAAAATCTGAGAGAGTGGACTTGTATTTATAGCCAAGGTTGGGCTGAAAACTGAAGAGGTGCAACTCTTCAGAATGACTGTTTATGCAAAACGGCCATAGCATAAATGCCAAAACATAAATGTCTATTTACACAACAATAAACCGGGAATTCAAAAGGGAGGTTAATTTTCAGTTACACAACCGAAAACGGAAAACGGATAACAGAATAATATTCCATTGGAATTAATATTAATATTAATATTAATATTTTGTTAGTAAAACGGATATTTAATACTCCCTCTATTCCAATTTATGTGAACCTATTTTCTTTTTTATCCGTTCCAAAAAGAATGAACCCTTTCTAAATTTGGTAACAATTTAGCTTAAACTTACAATTCTACCCTTAATGAGAAGTTTTTATAACCACACAAATACTCTGGCCCCTTTTTGACTTGTTCAGGACCACAAATTCTAAAAGTCTTCATTTTTTCTTAAACTCCGTGCCCAGTCAAACAGGTTCACATAAATTGGAACGGAGGGAGTAACATTTATGTTAATATTTACTATTAACAAATAAATTTGGTCCAAATATTAATCAATCCGAAGCCGAAGCCGAGCGAGCGACGACGGCGGCACGAGGCTTACCTTCGTCTCAACTCTTTAAGAGCTAGAAGAAGAGTGATTGCTTATATACCCATCAAAAACCTCTTCTTCTTCCAATTTGTCAAGGAGGGAATCTCAAATGAAACTCAAATATTTCATTTTCCCTCCATTTCCTATTCACCCTCTTTTAAGTCTATTTTAATGCTAAAAAACCCAACAATTATTGTGGTACAATGAACACATAAAATGTGAGCCATATTTTGTTCATTACAAAGACAGACATAAAGACAAAGCAATTGCCATATATTTACCGACAAGAGTTCAGTTAGTTCAATATCTAAAGATTACTTCCAATTTTTGTGAAAATTATGGAGATCCAACTGTAGGTATATAAATTTTATCGGATTTCAAATCCAATAAAATTACTTGGATTATATTTTAAATTCAAAGTATATTAGCCAAATAAATATTATGGGCTAATATAATTGGATTAATTATATAAATTCAATATATATGTATTAAATAAATAAGTCTTAATCCATTGGAAACCCATTTAATTGGGCTAAAATGATGAGCCCACCTCATTAGGCCCAACATCTTCCTAGAGGCCCAGTGCCACGTGTCAAATGATGTGGCACGCCATGTCAAAAGGAAGAGCCAATGAGATCATGCCATGTGTCAAAATGACAGGCATACCAAGCCATATTAAAAGGCCAATAAAATCGCGCCATGTGTGCAAGTGACATGTTCTGGTCAATCAAATGCGGCCTTGTCACACTTCAATTTGATTGGTCGGAGAGAGTTTTTTCTTATCATAACTCTTCCCTCTCACAACTATAAATAGGGATCTTCATAACCCAGAAAAGACACCAGAAGTTATAACAAGAAGTAAGAAAGAGCTCGTGGACCAAACGCTGTAAATTCCTCCACAAGTTTCAAGCTTCAAATAATAAAGTTCAAGTTCAATTTATCAAGTTCAAGCTCAAGAACGAAGAACAAATTAAGTTCAAGCTCAAGAACGAAGAACAAAAAAAGATTCAAGGAGTACGAGTTCAAATCAAAGTTCGTGCTAGTTGAATTCAAGATCATCGTTTGTGGCAACAAATATAGATTCAAGATCAAGCCCAAAAGCCCTGGAATCTAGACCAACTAATGGTCTAGATATAGAACCATTAGAATTGAAAAAGGATAATGTATACGGTCAAAATCAAGGAACCCGATTTTGAAGTCTTAAATTGGGCTATGCGTCCGAGTCCGGGCGACTTGAAGTGGAGGTCGGACCCGGCTAAAGGACACTCACTCCGAGGAAGCAGATCGAAGGCCTGACACGACCTACATCGAGAGCAGCACAATCTCGAAGACACTCAAGAAAGAGCGAGAATTTCCAAGAGCACGTGGGCCAGGGCATATATTATAGGATAAGATTTGTACGAGAGAGTACAAGTCCGTACTAGGTTGTTATACAGCTGTACCAATAGAATTTTTTTATTATAATTAGAAATGTATCATATTAGGGTTTTCCCCTCATATATAAAGGGGACCCCAATCATTTGTAAGGACATCCAATTCACTGCAATAGAACATTTGACTCTGCTTTTCTTGTTTACCATGCTCAACATTTGTTCTTCAGTTTTATTGTCTTTACTTTATTGTTCATACCTTATTGTTCTTACCTGACCTTGAGGTCCCTGGGATAATCAAGCTTGAGGCTCCTATTACTCCAACAACACTGATTTGGTTCACCAATTCTTCTTACTTAAGCTTAATATTACTTGTATAATCACTAGTATTAGAATATATCACATATCTTTAAAACCACAAATTATCTTTAGTTGTTACTCACATTTTCTGAGGTAAACAGTTTGGCGCCCACCGTGGGGCTAAAGATAATAGTGATTATTTTAGTGCTAGTTTTCTGATAACACACGTTATTCTTCACACTTTTTCTTGTCAATTTTTTTTGATTTCAGGCCAAAATATGTCTAGCACACAAAACGCACCTGCTCATGACAGTGAGGTACTCGGAGAAAACTGCGATATAGAGGTCGGTGTACCACCATAAACCCTGAGGGAGTGCCAAACGTGGAGCCAGTTAATGTCAGTTTACACAACGCTCTAAACACGGACGCAGGCACAGACCCCGTAAGGAATGTACATAGGGAAGCCCGAGCCGGACGCCAGGAAACATGAGGAATGGAAGGAGGAGTCAACCTCCAAGAGATATTCGAGATGCTGCAAGCTCAGCAAGTCGCCATCGCTCAACTTCAGAGTCAGAACAGAACTCCTAACACTGCCGAACCAGTGAACGCCCGACATGAACCAGCGCTAGAAAGGCCCGACAAAAGTGGCTCGGGGACTGACCCCACAATCATGAAAATGCTAGAGGAACTGACTAAAAGGATCGAGTCAGGAGAAAAGAAGATGGAAGACAACGATAAGAAGGTGGAAACTTATAACTCCCGGGTAGACCAGATACCGGGAGCACCTTCAGTTTTGAAGGGTCTAGATGCCAAAAAATTCATACAAAAACCTTTCCCCCCAAGTGCGGCTCCGATGCCCATTCCCAAGAAGTTTTGCATGCCCGATATACCAAAATACAACGGAACAACTGACCCTTACGAACATATTACTTCAAGGCATAACACACCTCGGAATGATCGAAGAGTAGATCGAGGCCAAAGTTCCCGGGGACTCATGGGCAAAACCGGGTTCGACAGGCGCTCGGGACCGGTGGAGGCGCCCAGATTATGATAATACAACTTCATTGTCGACGCCTCGAGTATCGTCTCGACCATTGGCAAAATTAGAGATACTAGATGGCCCAAGCCTATACAGACCAATCCTTCTCAGAGGAACCCTAACTTAATGTGTAAGTATCATGGTACCCACGGACATAGGAACGAGGATTGCAGACAGCTTAGAGAGGAGGTAGCCCGATTGTTCAATGAGGGACACCTTCGTGAATTTCTTAGTGACCGGGTCAAGAATCATTTCCGAGAAAGAGATGCCAATAGGAAGAATGTGTCGACACC